TGGGGGGGGGGGGGGGGGTCCCTGTAAATCCCAGGGAATTCAATATTGCGACCTTATTTTTTGACGAGGTTAATATCTCACCACACCCATCAGTTGTGCCAAGTTTGAGCGAAATCCGTGATTTGAGCATTGTCACCTCCTGCCTGGCTCTCTCACGGACACACTCTTAAGCGCGCCATAAGTTTTTGTTATGGTTTAAGAGTTTTTTTCTCTCTTCATCTCCTCACACTCTTTGGGTCGCGCGTGACCATGTAGTTTATCAATGAGAAAATGTGTGCATGAGTCCAGGAAATACATTGGATTGGTTTGCGACTTAAAAGTCTGGTTTCTCCTCAAGCATCGCTAACTCTTACCGTTTAACTGTGTATTTTGCGATTCATAGGAAACCAACTGCCTTTGCCATTTTAATAATGCGTCAGTAGTTTCAACCAACTTTCTTCCATTTGACTGACGAACAAAGCTCTACCTATCGCATTCCAGTACAGTTAAAATGAAAATATATATTCAAATTGCTGTATGATGATGAGGACGTCACATTGAAATTTTAAATTCCGGGTTCAGACTAGCACAGTTTTAATTTCAATTAAGGCCAGTTTGTATATTATAAGTAAGAGTTAGGGAATTTTTTTACTATTGTCGCGGAAGACTCAACAGTACTCAGTTAAAAACCAATTGCCATCGGAGGAGGAAGAGAATTTCTGGAAAATATTCGGTGGGTCTCGGAAAGAATTATTTCCAGCATCAGTCTCTTCTTTGAGTTCCTCAAAAGTTCTACGCAGCTGCTAAAACTTAAGACTGTATAAAACGTTCCATTCTATGGCGGAAGCTGAAGGTCAGGTCTCATTAAAATACGGATAAATCCTCTAAAGCAATGAAGTTCCTCTGACAGATTTTACTTAAACTTAACGGACATCGATCGTAGCACTTATTGGAGGAAAAACAGGAGGAAAAAGCCCCTGTAAACGATTTTGGAAGAAAAGTTCCCAGTGCCGAGAAATACAGCTGCAAGTAAAGTAGCTAATGACGTCATTTTGTTGCTATGACAACTCCGATGTCGTTGTAATCCTGATCATAACAAATTTTCAACTTTCAACACTTACAAAGCTCGGCCATTCGCGTTTCGTTTAAAATGAAAATAAATCCAGATTTTGGTGTAATGATGTTGTCATATTCAAATTCTTTCTATTTCAAATAAGTGGATAGTTCGGATGTTATGAGTGTGGATACTGGTAACTTCTTGCGATTGTAAACTTTATTGACTCACTAAATTTCAGTCTCATCCATAAAAGAAAACACTCGCAGAGCTCTTCAAAAGTTATACAGCTACAGACTGTAGCGTACCCGTACACGTAGGCAGGCAACATGCGTTGCATGGCTGGTATCGTCGGAGTCGCGCCATTCCGTTCACCAAAAATATTTGTTAATGACTGTGTGTCAGGAATGGTGTATTTAACTATCAAAAGGACAAAAAACATTGTAGTTAATTTTTTTTGTGACTTCTGAGCAACGGAGGAGACGATGTTTTTACAAACACAGCTCTTAAAGGTCACTCAAATCAAGTCAACTTTATTCAGGCAGGGCAGCCCTATCAGCCATTGACCGGTATCAAAAAGGGGCCCCCCGTACAATCGTCGTTGGAGGACTATATCGGGTTTTTATTGTCGGCGGGTCCAAGCTTTTTGCCATAGATTTTTACAAAAAATACTACATAATAAATGAATGAATAAATAAATAAATAAATAAATAACAAAAAACCTCGCCCAAAATAAAAAAAAATAAAATAAAAGAATCTTTGTTTCCGCGATTCCTAAAAACACCTGTTTGGGCTCAATAAATTTTGATTGGACTTGATGTCAATATATTTGCATAATGATGCCTTTAATAAGTTTCTTTGTCCCAATTAGTTTGCAACAGTTCTTGTCAGCCACTTTTTAGCCAGAATACTAAATAGGTTCTTTCTATTCTTTATTTACCATATCCTCAAAAACACCAATTGCGTCAGTATACCTTACCTTAAGCTCGATCTATCATTCTTATCAAAAGAAAATTTTATTCAAATTTGAATGTGTTATTATGTGGCTATATTAACTTGTTTGAAATTTTTTGTTAAGGGAATTCTTGGTGTTCAAACGTCTTGGTATTTAACACTGCCCAGTTAGTGGACAATTTCAAGATTACCAAAGTACGGAAGAGGACAAGCAAGGTCGCTTAGCCATGCGATAATTTAAGGACGAATGTGAACCACATTCTGAACTATTGGAGACCGATCAGGTAACTTACCAAAGGCAAGAGCGTCTGCCTGTCAAAAGACGTCAACAGTTCTTTAAAGGAACAGTCTATACAACGGCAGAAGAAGCTAAAGACGCGTTTTGAACATCCCAAAGAATGGCAGGAATTTGCAGGAATTAATGGCCTTTATTCAACCCTCGTCGCCAACTGCTTCTTCAACGCCTTCTTGCTTTTCACAGCCATGGTTTTGAACATCATAACAATACAAGCCCTAAGAAAAATATCATCGTTTCCAAAGCCTTTAAAAACATTACTCCTGAGTCTCGCTGTTTCGGATCTTGGTGTTGGTTTGGTTGTCCATCCTCTCTATATTGTGTGTCTCGTAATGAACATGGAACAGAACACTAACAATAAAATTTATATTATGGTATCCAAAGCATACTTTATTTCTGGTTATTTACTGTGTGCTGCTTCATTCTTTGGTATTATTGCTCTAACTGTCGACAGATTCTTAGCTATTCATCTTCATCTCAGATACCAGGAACTTGTGACTCATGGGCGTGTTGTTACTGTAGTAATTTCAGTTTGAGTGTGATGTTCATGTATTTCCTTATTTGTGTTGAACAGGGTTTTAGAAAACGTTCTGGCCATTATAAATGCAACTATTGGGGCAGTTTGTCTCACTACAACGGGATTAATTTACTGCAAGATATATTTGATCGTACGTCACCACACAAATCAGATTCACGCCTTGCAATTGCAACTCGTAGGACAGAATCAGAATGGAGAATTGGCAAATGCTGCAAGACTAAAAAAAACTGCACTTGCTACATTTTACGTGTATGTGGTGTTTGTGGTTTGCTTTTTACCCTTCATATGCGTTAACGCAGCTTATCAAATTTATGGTGAGTCCGAGTTGTTGTTGCATCTTTTGTATTATTCGCAGACACTTACGTATCTTAATTCATCTCTCAATCCTTTGGTCTACTGCTGGAAGATGCGGAACATTCGACAAGCTGTGATCAGTGTACTTCGCAATATCTTTCAAGGTTAGTAAAGCTCCATTCGAACCGCTTCGCCGATGAGACTCTTACCCTTTGTGCCCCACAAAAAAATGGAAATTTCATATTACTAGCATGAATTTTAACTAACAGATGAATAATGAATAATGATTTAGAGGTAGCACATTCACGTAGTGATTCTTCGTCTGCCATTCCTAGTAGAGTTGGAATTTAGAAATGAGTACTCCGTGAAAAACCTCTCGGGGCAAAGGAAAGAACAAATGTCAAACTCAAACCACATTTGGCGTCGACGGCGAGATTTAAACCTGGGCCTCACTGGTGGAAGGCGAGTGCTCTCACTACTGCTTCACCCTTGCTCCCCAATCGTATTAGCCTCTGAATGATCGATTAGTGCGGTTCACAAACACCCGTCAGAACATTTCCAGGGCACCTGTTCGATCCTGGTCTTAGCAATCATGACGTCCACGCACCAACAAAAACTGGTATAGTTAGAAGATTTTCAGTTCTCTGGTTGATATCAACCATCACAGATCAAATCATAAAGCGACCTGAAGAAAGCTAAAAACAATAAAAGTAGACGGCATTGGCGCGTGTATCGTCAGTTACGAAACTGCGTGAACTGTGCCATTAAGGCTTTCGAGCAACTTCTGAGTATCTTTCATTACAAAAAGCAACTTTTGATTGTTTTTTGAGCAACGTTTTGAAAAAAATACGAGAAACGTTTTGGAAAATCTCGATCAACTTGTGGAAAGCCCTATGTATATCTGCCCAGCCTGAAGTAAGCCCTTACTTTTCTAAGCGTGATTGTTCATCGAATTGCTATGTAGTAATGGCGGGCTGATATTTAATGCCTTAGTTAACTTTAGTTTCATAAACTTGGGAGATAAGAGGGTGAACACACAAAAGCACTGGTAACTTGGTACTAAATATATAGGCATCGTACACATCCGCAAAAAGGCGGGGAAATTGCCAAGGGTCCTCAGGCTGAAAAGTATGGAGGGAGGGGTAAGAGCGAGCTCAAACTGATAAAGGATCATAATAACCTACTATGCGTAACAGAACAACAGCGTTAACAACAAAGAAATAAACAAAAAATTAAGGAAAATCGTTACTTTTTCACGATTCTTAAACTAAAAGAGATCCATGTATTCTTCTCTGCCTACATATTGGGTTTCCATGTTAACTAGTTAAAAGGAAAAGTTTGTTCTTGTGTGTTTACTATGCATTATATTGCGAGCAATGATAAAATTTCTGTAATATTAAACTGAAGAAACTGGTATTAGAATGACGTAGGCTTTGTTTAGCAGCCTCTGATGAATTAATTACTTCGAACTAACGAGTTTTAGTTATTAAATTAATAAAAGCATAGTATATTGGTTTTAACAGGCTTTCAATAAAATAGATTAATTAGTTTCCACCTTGATTGTATTTAAAGGCTTTTATTGCTTTTTTGCAACATGATCACTTATCGAATTGCCACGTCATGATGGCTGGTCTCATAAAGTTGGGACTACAAGGGATATTTTAAACATTCTGATCATTTGCAACTTATTAAACTTTGACACATATGTTAGCATGATTTGTTAAGTAACAAGGACGCTCTTAAAAGTAGCAATTCTCGCTTGCTTGGAGATTAGATAACAATAGATAGCAAATGAGGAGACGATTAATTCTACAAAAAGCAGGATTTCTTCGCTAAAAGTTTGCCCTTCCCACTTTATCGACGGTCGAGTATTATCTAGAATATTTACTTCTTACATTGAATTGGACGATGATTGAGTACGGTTGTACCAATACAAATCCTTGCCAGAAAGTAAAAACGCAATGAACATGGCGCGTGATTTCAATCATCGCCGAAAATAAACCGTATGCTCATCACAAGACTCATTTTCATACAATGAAAGTTTTTTAACGCGCGACAGGTTTATAGCCTCGCCATAGAAGTTTTCACTGAAGTATGCACTTGTTCCAAAGTTATCAACGCTTTCAAGTGATCCGATAGAATTAGTGGACCGCCCCGTTCCGGAAAAGCTCGACAACTCTGCGTCAATCTTTCCTAAGCTTTCTTCACAAATAGAACATGGTGCTGTGACACGCAGCAATTCTTATCCCCAGTTTCCACGATCTCCGTTAGTAACACCTAGGACAATGATTCCCCTTTTGACGCGCAAACCAGTGGGACTAACTACCTACTGTGCCGGTCTATGTTTTAAAAGCTCAGTAGATTTTTTATGGGGAACAAGTTCCTTCTCTCAGCTCAGAAGACTCGTTGTAAGTCGTAGTTACTCAAAACATGTGCATATGTTTCGCTTGAGTCCAGCTAACATGTAGGATTGGTCTCAGGCATAATAGTCCACATTTCCTCTAAACCATTGCTAAACTCTTTTCTGTTTGACTTTGTGTTTACGATTCATCGCAAACCAGCTGCCATTTCTACTTTGATATCGCGTCAATAGTTTTGAATAACTTACTTCCATTTGACTGACCAACTTTTTCCAACCGGTAAAACTAGCCAACAAAACGAAAAAACCTGCATTAGCCACTATAGCCAAATGTTCATGCTAATGACAGTTTGATTAATGGTACATCATGATGTTAAACGTATGTACATGTACAGTATACAGGAAATAAAATAAACCCCAAAATTAAAAAGTATAATCATGATAATGTTTTTCTTTTTAAATTCAATTAAAGAATAATACAAGAATATTTTCAGCCTGAAATCGGCAGGAAAAATAGGAATATTTAGTCTGGGCCGGGAAAACAACATTCTTGTAAAAAAGAAAGGAAAAAGAAACTGAGAACGAATTACATCTTATTAGCTGCCCTAAAGTTAATAAAGGATAGCGTATTGTTCATTTTGAATACATTTTTATAGTTTCCAAGTTGATTGTTGTTGTATTCGATTGCAGTTTGATGCATAATATTGCTTTTTTCAACATGGTTGCTCAACAGATTGCTATGTCATGCATAAACAGGTATTCTGATCATTTGCAATTGATTAAACTTTGCCACGTATTGAGGAACTAGGGTGCTGTGTCTTAAACCACCTCACACTCTTTAGGTAGCGTGTGACCATGTAGTTTATCAAAAATATGTACAGGTCCGTTGCCGGATTGGTTTGCGACGTAGCAGTCCGTTTTTCCCTTAAGTCATCGCTCAACTGTATATTTTTAATTCATTGAAAACCTACCGCCAATGCTAATTTAATATTGCGTCAGTAGTTTCATACAACTTTCCTCCTTTTTGACTGACGAACTTCAACACTTACAAAGTTCGACCTATCGCGTTTGGCTTAAAAGGAAAATATATTCAAATTACTGAGTGATGATGACGTCACATTTAAATTTTAAATTCGGTGTTCAGACAAGCACAGTTTTAATTTCAATTAAGGTCAGTTTGTATATTATAAGTACGAGTTAGGGACGTTTTTGCTATTGTCGCGGAAGACTCAACAGTACTCAGTTAAAAACCAATTGCCATCGGAGGAGGAAGAGAATCTCAGGAAAATATTCGGTAAGTCTCGTAAAGAATTATTTCCAGCATCAGTCTCTTCTTGCAGAGTTCCTCAAACGTTCTACACAGCTGCTAAAACTTAAGACTGTATAAAACGTTTCATTTAATGGCGGAAGCTGTAGGTTAGTCTCATTCGAAAACGGATGATTCCTCCAAAGCAATGAAGTTCCTTTGCATTGTTATACTAGAAACTGAACACTGATAAGGGTCTTTTGCAAAAGATGGCAAGTGCTAAAGGCGTACATTTTACACTTAATGTTAATTGCGTCTTCAACGCTTTCTTGTGTTTAACCACCATCGCGTTAAACATCATAACAATACAAGCGCTCACAAAAACGTCTTCGTAGCGTGAGACCTCAAAAACATTGCTTCTAAGCCTGGCTGATCTGGTTGTGGGCGTATTAGTCGAACCACTGTACGTTGCAATTATTGCGATGAACATAGAAGAGAACTCTAACAACACTGCTTATTATTCAGTATACAAAGCGTATTTAATCCAGAAAAAAGTATTGGTCTTAACTTCGCATCTTGGCGTTTTTGCATTAACTTTTGAGTTTAACTGTGTATTTACGATTCACTGCAAACCAGCTGCCGTTTCTACTTTAATATCGCATCAGTAGTTTCAAATAACTTTCTACCATTTGACTGACAAACTTGAACTCTTACAAAGCTCGACCTGTCGCGTTTCGGTTAAATGGAAAATGAACTCAAATTTCTGTGGCAAAACTAGTCAATAAAAAAATATCATGAAAAATTTTTTCTTTTTTAAATATAATTATTTAGGAATAATACAAGAATATTTTCAGCCTAAAATAGGTAGAAAAAAATACAATATTCAGCCTGGGCCAGGAAAACAACATTCTTATAAAAAAGGGAGAGGGTGTATCAAACTGAAAAAACTGGAGCTAATAAGACTTACCTCTTATTAGCTGCCTTAAAGTTAATAAAGGATAGTGTATTTTTTTGAATACATTTTCATAGTTTCCAAGTTGATTGAAGTTTAAGGCACATTAATTTTGCTGTTTGCAACTCGAGTACTGATCGAACTGGCCGTCATGATACTTAAATATTCCGATCATTTGGGATTAAACTTTTACACATATTAGGGACCGGATGATCTATTAAGTAACTAGGCTACTGTGTCTTTGTTTTAAGCGCGCCATAAGTTTTTGTTATGGTTAAGAGTTTTTTTCTCTTCATCTCTTCACACTCTTTGGGTCGCCGGTGACCATGTAGTTTATTAATGAAAAAATGTGTGCATGAGTCCAGGAAATACATTGGATTGGTTTGCGACTTAAAAGCCTGTTTTCTCCTCAGGTATCGCTAACTCCGTTCTGTCAGTAACTGTGTATTTTTGCGATTCTTAGCAAACCAACTGCCGTTGTCATTTTAATAATGTGTCAGTAGTTTCAAACAACTTTCTTCCATTTGACTGACGATAAAAGCTCGACCTATCGCATTTCAGTTAAAATGAAAATATATTCAAATTGCTGTATGATGATGAGGAAGTCACATTTAAATGTGAAATTCCGGGCTCAGACATGCACAGTTTTAATTTCAAGTATTCGGGTGAGAGTTTGGATCTTATGAACACGGCTTTTTTCGATTGTGGCGGAAGACAACAGTAATCAGTTCAAACCAATTACCAACAGAGGAGGAAGAGAATTGCCGGCAGGAGAATATTAGATAAGTCTCGCAAAGAATTATTTCTTTGTGTCATAAGTACAGGATTGCTTTACTGCAAAGTATACGCAGCCGTAAGACACCACACAGGTACAAGTGGCACAGAGTGGAGATATGGCAAACGCTGTAAGGGTCAAAAAATCTACACTTGCTACATTTTACGTGTATGTGGTGTTTTTAGTTTGTCAATTGCTAATATCTTGTGTTGTTTTTGCCAAGACAAATGGTGAAACTACCTTGTTATCTCATTTATGGTATTTCACATTGACTCTTGTGTATCTCAATTCATCCATCAATCCTTGATCTACTGTTCGAACATGGGACACATCTGACAAACTGTTATGAATCATATATGATTGGTTCGTAATAAGAAAGAACTAATTCAGAATATTTTTCTCTGGTGAAAAAAACCTTTTCATCAATACTGTTGGAAAAATGACCCTTATTAGTTATGACCAGGATATAATATAATCGAGTATAAGCTCAGGGAGTTTAAGCAGCGACGTTTTCGAGCGATGCACGTCAACCGGAATTCAGAATTTGATTTGGACAAAAAGGTCTGTATACAATAAAATGTCTTAAAAAGTTTAATAGATTGTTTTTAACAATAGTCCTCTGATACAATTAAATCAACAAATTCTCGATATACTGAATGTAACAAGAGTGGCGAAAAGACCTACCGTTATAATAGAAGTGAGAGCCTCAAATGCATTGTTAGTTAACGCTGTTCACGTGAAAATGAAACTTGGAGACAATACCCCTGAATAATGAGAGCCCCTTACTGTTAACACGAAATTTCGACAAAAAATTAGCGAGTTGTATCCCTTATTTTCACTGCCTTACAAGTTATAAAACGACGGTTAATCTCGAAAGTCTTAAATGTTTGTAAAAAATCTATCCAGCTGTTACAAATATATTCGCTTATTTGTTTAAGTAGACGAGTGGACCAAAATGTTTACGAAATCGCTGATAAGAGCGCCTCAATACTAACTCTACCAAATCCTTCACCCTTTCAAGCAATCGGCTAAAGCTATCCCAATGATCACACACGTTTAAAAAATGATTGAAACTGCCATGAGGTGAAATCGCATTTGAAAAGTGCTCCGTTTTCTGCAGATAACGGCCGAATATCGAGCGGATTGTCCAGTTATTATCGTATTTCTAACCATAAAATCTCCATTCCAAAATATCTCGCTAACACTCTCACAGATTTTACTTAAACTTAACGGACATCGATCGTAGCAGTCGTTGGAGAAAAATTGGAGGAAAAAGCCCCCGTAAACGATTTTGGAAGAAACATTTCCAGTGCCGAGAAATACAGCTGCAAGTAAAGTAGCTAATGGCGTCATTTTGTTGCTATGACAACTCCGATGTCATTGCAATCCTGATCATAACAAATTTTCAACTTTCAACACTTACAAAGCTCGGCCATTCGCGTTTCGTTTAAAATGAAAATAAATCCAGATTTGTTGTCATATTCAAATTCTTTTTATTTCAAATAAGCGGATATCTCGGATGTTATGAGTATGGGATACTGGGAACTTCTTGCGATTGTAAACTTTATTGACTCAATAAATTTCAGTCTCATCCATAAAAAAAAAAAACACTCGCAGAGCTCTTCAAAAGTTATACAGCTACAGACTGTAGCGTACCTGTACACGTAGGGAGGCAACATGCGTTGGCTGGTACCGTCGGAGTCGCGCCATTCCGCTCACCAAAAATATTTGTTAATGACTGTGTGTCAGGAATGGTGTATTTAACTAAAAAAGGACAAAAATCATTGTAGTTAATTTATTTTGCGACTTTTGAGCAACGGAGGAGACGATATTTTAACAAACACAGCTCTTAAAGGTCACTTAAATCAAGTCAACTTTATTCAGTCGGGCAGCCCTTTCAGCCATTGGCCGGTATCAAAAAGGGGCCCCCCGTACAGTCGTCGTGGAGGACTATATCGGGTTTTTATTGTCGGCGGGTCTAAGCTTGTTGCCATAGATTTTTGCAAAAAAATACTACATAATTAATAAATAAATAAATAAATAACAAAAAACCTTGCCCAAAATAAAAAAATAAAAGAATCTATGCCTCTGCGATTCCTAAAAACACCTGTCTGGGCTCAATAAATTTTGATTGGACTTGATGTCAATATATTTTCATAATGATGCCTTTAATAAGTTTCTTTGTCCCAATTAGTTTGCAACAGTTCTTGTCAGCCATTTTTTAGCGAGAATAGGTTCTTTCTATTCTTTATATCATTATCACCTTTTTACTGGCATTTATCATATCCTCAAAAACACCAATTGCGTCAGTATGCCTTACCTTAAGCTTATTAATTGTTAAGCTCGATCTATCATTCTTATCAAAAGAAAATTTTATTCGAATTTGAATGTGTTATTATGTGGCTACATTAACTTGTTTGAAATTTTTTGTTAAGGGAATTCTTGGTATTCAAACGTCTTGATATTTAACACTGTCTGGTTAGTGGACAATTTCAAGATTACCAAAGTACGGAAGAGGACAAGCTAGGTCGCTTAGCTTTTAAGGAAGAATGTGAACCACATTCTGAACTATTGGAGACCAATCAGGTAACTTACCAAAGGCAAGAGCGTCTGCCTGTCAAAAGACGTCAACAGTTCTTTAAAGGAACAGTCTATACAATAGCAGAAGAAGCTAAAGACGCGTTTTGAACATCCCAGAGAATGGCAGGAATTAATAGCCTTTATTCAACCCTCGTCGCTAACTGCTTCTTCAACGCTTTCTTGCTTTTCACAGCCATGGTTTTGAACATCATAACAGTGCAAGCCCTAAGAAAAATATCATCGTTTCCAAAGCCTTTAAAAACATTGCTCCTGAGTTCGCTGTTTCTGATCTTGGTGTTGGTTTGATTGTCCATCCTCTGTATATTGCACGTCTTATAATGAACATAGAACAGAGCGCTAACAAAAGACTCCTTTATACGGTATATAGCCTTTTTGGCTATTTACTGGGTGTTGCTTCACTCTTGGGCATCACTGCTTTAACTGTCGACAGATTCTTAGCCATTCATCTTCATCTCAGATACCAGGAACTTGTGACTCACAAGCGTGTTGTCGCTGTAGTGATTTCAGTCTGGGTGTGGTGTTCATGTATTTCCTTATTTGCGTTAAACAGGGTTTTACAAAACGTTCTGTACATTATAAATGCAACTATTGGGGCAGTTTGTCTCACTACAACGGGATTAATTTACTGCAAGATATACTCAATCGTACGTCACCACACAAATCAGATTCAAGCCCTGCAATTGCAACCCGTAGGACAGAATCAGAATAAAGAATTGGCAAATGCTGCAAGACTGAAAAAAACTGCACTTGCTACATTTTACGTGTATGTGGTGTTGGTGGTTTGTTTTTTGCCCTTCATATGCGTTAAAGCAACCTATCTAATTTATGGTGAGTCCGAGTTGTTGTTGCATCTGTTTTATTATTCCATGACACTTGTGTATCTTAATTCCTCTCTCAATCCCTTGATCTACTGTTGGAAGATCAGACACATTCGACAAACTGTTATGGACATACTTCGAAATGTCATTGCAATTGGTCCGCACTAAAGAAGGGATCTACTCAGAATAATTTAACCTTTTACTCTCTGGTAAAAATAAAAGCTTTCAAGCAATACAATTGGAAAAAATGACAATAAATATAAACGGGACCCGAAACCTTTGAAAGGCAAAGGGACAAGTATATGATCCAGTATAGGTTCATGAGATTTCGGTTTGCTTTGGAATAACTATAATTACAAATAATACGGAAACTCTGAAATATTATTTATCAAAGTCAGAAAAGAAGAAATGTGTTGAAGACTGGTAAGAATATACCTTTTAACCAGGGTTTTTAATTTGTCGAGCCCAAACATGACTAATAAGATCACTGCATTTGAAAGTTTCAGAACGGGATCTGAGAAATAGCTCTCCTGACAGCGCAACCGATTGGAACAAAGGATCGATAGCTAAATGACATCAAAATACTTTAAAACACCATAATAGAACCAGAAAGCAGATATAATATGGTTCCAATATCAAGCAAAGAGCTTCTTGCCCTGAGATTAAAAACTTAGAACCATAATGTTTGACGAAACAATTAAGTATTAAGGCCCAGAGTTGAACAGAAGTACGCAGTTTCGTCATGTCCCAGCTGAACGTCTTGCAAGCAACTCTCGGTACGTGCGTGAGAGTAATTTACAACAACGTTGAAACTTTTGTACGAGACCGTACTTAATGTTTCCATAGGCATTTAGAAACAGCTAGCCCAAAAGTAATTATTGTAACCAATGATGTATAACAGAGCAACAGCATTAACAACGTGAAAATGAAAAAAAAAAAAAGAAAAATCGTGTATTTTCCTCTATTCTTAAACTTAAATGCGTTTTCTCCTACACATTGTTTTTCCTGTTCGGTGGTTACGAGCGCTCTTTCATAATCATGAAAGTTCCCCCACAATTTCTGTTTTAAGGGAGGGAGGGAAGAAACACAGATAGTTATTTTTTCACGCTTAAACTGAAGAGTATATTCTTTTCTTGTCTACGCATTCTTTTTCCTGTTTGAAGCTGATTAGGAGCGGTCGTCCATAATCATGACAGTTCTTCAACAATCTCTGGGGGAAACGGTATCCTCTTGTTTTTCTACTACCCATTCAATTGCGAGCAATATATATTGAACTTTCATTATAATATTAAACTGAAGCCGAAACCGGAGTTAATATGACTTAAGTTTTGGTAGCTGCCTCGGATGAGTTAAATCAACACGAACTTCTAAGGCGTAACAACAACAACAACCATTGTACTCCACAGGAAAAAGTTTACAAATAATGAATTAAAGTAAACTGAAAAGGAAATATTTCACACAACCCGCAGTTAGCTTAAGCTAATCGAGGCAAGAAGTGTTTTCGATACATCTTCAATGAAATGAAATTTGAAACATAATTTCGAAGTCGATTGTAGTTTAGACTACAAGGGATATTTAAAACATGCTGATCATTTGTTTTTACCTGATTAAACTTTCACATACAGAACTGGATGATTTATTAAGTAACTACCTACTGTGTCTGTTTTTTTTTTTTAAGGTAATACCGTCTTTTCTCTCATCCTCCGACCCGTCTTAGATCAGTATAGGTGCATAATTTTTGCTTGGGTCAAGCAAAAACGTTGGATTATTCTCCAAACTAATGGTCCGCATTTCCTCTAAACCATTATTAAACTCTTTCTGTTTGACTGTGTATTTACGATTCACTGCAAACCAGCTGCCGTTTCTACTTTAATATATCGTCAGCAGTTTCAAATATAACTTTCTACCATTTGACTGACAAACTTCAACTCTTACCATAGTTAATGGAGGTGACTGGTTATGAAGCCCGGCAAACATCAAAGGAGCAAACAAAGATGCCAAGATTTATGTTGGAAGGTCCACGACCCTGCACAATCTTTTGTTTTGCGTTCATACGTTATGCATGAATTACGTAACCAGCACGTTTCTATTGGTTAGTTCCTCAATACGGAGTAAACAACTATTGTGTTTTGTGCAGGGTCAAGGCCAAAAAAGAGAACAAAAACATACAACAAAGAACTTTGTCGGGTTTCATAACCATTTCTGTGGCAAAACTAGTCAATAAAAAAATGTCATGATAAATTTTCTTTTTTAAATATAATTATTTAGGAATAATACAAGAATATTATCAGCCTAAAATGGGAAGAAAAAAATAGGAATATTCAGCCTGGGCCAGGAAAACAACATTCTTATAAAAAAGAAAAAACTGGAGCTAATAAGACTTACCTCTTATTAGCTGCCTTAAAGTTAATAAAGGATAGTGTATTGTTTTTGAATACATTTTATAGTTTTCAAGTTGATCGAAGTTTAAGGCACATTTTGCTTTTTGCAACATGATTACTCATCGAACTGTGCCGTCATGATACGTAAATATTCTTATCATTTGCGATTAAACTTTGACACATATTAAGGACCGGATGATTTATTAAGTAACTAGGCTACTGTGTCTTTGTTTTAAGCGCGCCATAAGTTTTTGTTATGGGTTAAGAGTTTTTTTCTCTTCATCTCCTCACACTCTTTGGGTCACACGTTACCATGTAGTTTATCAATGAAAAAATGTGTGAATGAGTCCAAGAAATACATTGGATTGGTTTGCGACTTAAAAGCCTGTTTTCTCCTCAGGTATCGCTAACTCTGTTCTGTTTAACTGTGTATTTAATTTTTGCGATTCTTAGCAAACCAACTGCCGTTGTCATTTTAATAATGTGTCAGTAGTTTCAAACAACTTTCTTCCATTTGACTGACGAACAAAGCTCTGCCTATCGCATTTCAGTTAAAACGAAAATATATCAAATTGCTGTATGATGATGAGGACGTCACATTTAAATTTTGAATTCCGGGCTCAGACATGCACAGTTTTAATTTCAAGTATTCAGGTGAGAGTTTGGATCTTATGAACACGGCTTTTTTCGATTGTGGCGGAAGGCAACAGTAATCAGTTCAAACCAATTACCAACAGAGGAGGAAGAGAATTGCCGGCAGGAGAATATTAGGTAAGTCTCGCAAAGAATTATTTCTTTGTGTCATAAGTACAGGATTGCTTTATTACAAAGTATACGCAGCCGTAAGACACCACGCAGGTACAAGCAGCACAGAATGGAGATATGGCAAACGCTGTAAGGGTCAAAAAATCTATACTTGCTACATTTTACGTTTATGTGGTGTTTTTAGTTTATTAATTGCTAATATCTTGTGTTGTTTTTGCCAAGACAAATGGTGAAACTACCTTGTTATCTCATTTATGGTATTTCACATTGACTCTTGTGCATCTCAATTCATCCATCAATCCTTGATCTACTGTTCGAACATGGGACACATCTGACAAACTGTTATGGATCATATATGATTGGTTCGTAATAAAAAAGAACTAATTCAGAATATTTTTCTCTGGTGAAAAAAACCTTTTCATCAATACAGTTGGAAAAATGACCCTTATTAGTTATGACCAGGATATAATATAATCGAGTATAAGCTCAGGGAGTTTAAGCAGCGACGTTTTCGAGCGATGCACGTCAACCGGAATTCAGAATTTGATTTGGACAAAAAGGTCTGTATACAATAAAATGTTTAATAGATTGTTTTTAACAATAGTCCACTGATACAATTAAATCAACAAATTCTCGATATACTGAATGTAACAAGAGTGGCGAAAAGACCTACCGTTATAATAGAAGTGAGAGCCTCAAATGCATTGTTAGTTATTGCTGTTCACGTGAAAATGAAACTTGGAGACAATACCCCTGAATAATGAGAGCTCCTTACTGTTAACACGAAATTTCGACAAAAAATTAGCGAGTTGTATCCCTTATTTCACTGCCTTACAAGTTATAAAACGACGGTTAATCTCGAAAGTCTTAAATGTTTGTAAAAAATCTATCCAGCTGTTACAAATATATTCNAATTGCTAATATCTTGTGTTGTTTTTGCCAAGACAAATGGTGAAACTACCTTGTTATCTCATTTATGGTATTTCACATTGACTCTTGTGCATCTCAATTCATCCATCAATCCTTGATCTACTGTTCGAACATGGGACACATCTGACAAACTGTTATGGATCATATATGATTGGTTCGTAATAAAAAAGAACTAATTCAGAATATTTTTCTCTGGTGAAAAAAACCTTTTCATCAATACAGTTGGAAAAATGACCCTTATTAGTTATGACCAGGATATAATATAATCGAGTATAAGCTCAGGGAGTTTAAGCAGCGACGTTTTCGAGCGATGCACGTCAACCGGAATTCAGAATTTGATTTGGACAAAAAGGTCTGTATACAATAAAATGTTTAATAGATTGTTTTTAACAATAGTCCACTGATACAATTAAATCAACAAATTCTCGATATACTGAATGTAACAAGAGTGGCGAAAAGACCTACCGTTATAATAGAAGTGAGAGCCTCAAATGCATTGTTAGTTATTGCTGTTCACGTGAAAATGAAACTTGGAGACAATACCCCTGAATAATGAGAGCTCCTTACTGTTAACACGAAATTTCGACAAAAAATTAGCGAGTTGTATCCCTTATTTCACTGCCTTACAAGTTATAAAACGACGGTTAATCTCGAAAGTCTTAAATGTTTGTAAAAAATCTATCCAGCTGTTACAAATATATTCGCTTATTTGTTTAAGTAGACGAGTGGACCAAAATGTTTACAAAATCGCTGATAAGAGCGCCTCAATACTAACTAACCAAATCCTTCACCTTTCAAGCAATCGGCTAAAGCTATCCCAATGATCAAACACGTTTTAAAAATGATTGAAACTGCCATGAGGTGAAATCGCAATTGAAAAGTGCTCCGTTTTCTGCAGATAACGGCCGAACATCAAGCGGATTGTCCAGTTATTATCGTATTTCTAACCATAAAATCTCCATTCCAAAATATCTCGCTAACACTCTCACAGATTTTACTTAAACTTAACGGACATCGATCGTAGCAGTCGTTGGAGAAAAATTGGAGGAAAAAGCCCCCGTAAACGATTTTGGAAGAAAAATTTCTAGTGCC